CAGGCTAACAGTGATGATGAAGAGGAATTCAATGCAATAAAAGTAACCCAGGATTTCCTTACTAGATGTAGTACTTAAAAATTCCTATTTCAAGCATTTCGTCAACTCCCAATAATCACAGTGGGTAGATTATCCACACTGTGGGCTAGGCCTGGACAGTTGTTTACTCTCAGACTGGATTTTCCTTTTGTTTTATTTTCTTTTTTTTATTATTATGCTTTAAGTTCTAGGGTACATGTGCACAACGTGCAGGTTTGTTACATAGATATACATGTGCCATGTTGGTGTGCTGCACCTGTTAACTCATCGTTTACATTAGGTATATCTCCTAATGCTATCCCTCCCCGCTCTCCCTACCCCATGACAGGCCCCAGCGTGTGATGTTCCCCACTCCGTGTCCAAGTGTTCCTCTTGTTCAATTCCCACCTATGAGTGAGAACATGCGGTGTTTGGTTTTCTGTCCTTGCAATAGTTTGCTCAGAATGATGGTTTCTGGCTTCATCCATGTACCTACAAAGGACATGAACTCATCCTTTTTTATGGCTGCATAGCATTCCATGGTGTATATGTGCCACATTTTCTTAATCCAGTCTATCACTGATGGACATTTGGGTTGGTTCCAAGTCTTTGCTGTTGTGAATAGTGCTGCAGTAAACATCCAACATATAAAGACACATACATGTGTCTTCATAGCAGCATGATTTATAATTCAGGCTGGATTTTCTATCCTGTCTCTATCCTGTCTCTCAATTTCTAGGGACATTCATCAGCTGATTATATCTGAGTATTTTCTTTCCACTCCTTTCACATACAAGTAACTGTAAGCAGATAGCAGATCAGGACAAAAAAATGATAGATAAGTGTAGGTGGATGACAGTAAAGATAACATGAGACCTCATGATGATAGGAATCATCCAGAACTTGTCTCATAGTAGACACTCAGTAAATATTTGTTGAACTGAGTGGATGGAGGTATTGAAAAGTTGAATTAGAAGACTTTTAAGGTTTCTTCCCACCCTATTACCTATGACTCCTCAGAATAAGATGATGGAAAACCTGAGTGACCTAGGAGATAGATGCCCAAACTCATGAGGAGCAAGACAGAGAAGTTAAAATGAAGGGACTCATCTCAGGCCAAGATGGATGCTGAATGAATAAGTCAGGACTGATCCAAGCTGTTACACCCCAACAGGATCCTTGGTCCTGGGTAATGCCCCAAAATTTTCACCCAGAGTCCAGGGGGACTAAAAAGAAGTTCTCTTAGAATTTAAGGTATAGACAAAATGTTAAGTGAAATCCCAGACCTTAACTTACTTAGGAAGTCTGAGAGTACTTAGATGCATATTGGTGGGGGTGGTAAGACTGTTCTGAGGCCCTGGATTTTATGACATATTGTTTTTTTCCAATATCACAGAAACCTAGAATTCAGGGCAGGAAAGATTCTTAGAAGTCATCTAAGCCCACCTCCAACCCAGTAGAGGAACTTTTTCTACAGCATCCCCAACAGAGGGTCATTTGGTCTTCAGCGACAGGAAGTTTGCTTTCTCCAGAGGCAGCAGCATTATTGCTAGACAGCTTCCATGTGGGCAGGTTCTTTCCCCTGATTCTAATGTCTACCCATTAATGCAACAGAGGCCATGCCTGTTCCCTCACTTCTGGGGCAGCTCTCCTGAAGTTAGGAATTGCGTGGTTTTTTTTTCCTTCATCTTCATGCCTGCCAGCAAACATCCCTCATTCCTTCAACTGTGGAGACATGGATTGTGGGTGCCTTAATGTGCTGCTTCCTTGACAGTACTCTAACTGATCTATGTAGTTCTTAAAATGAAGCTGGCCAGATGAATGTTACAGAGTTGAATGCAGTGGTCCAGATATGGCCTGGCCTACAGAAAGGAGAGTGCGACTATTTCTTCCTATTCATTTCTAAATTATCAACACTATCTGCTTAATCATCTATTCTAAAATGTTCCCCCAAATGGTCATTAAGTTTGCTGGTTCCTTAAATTCCAGGACCCTCTTTCACCACTCACTTGTCATTATTTGTTTGTCTTCTGTTGGCTGGTTCATCTCCTATGCTACCAATGCACTCCCATCTTGGGCTGCCTTTTACTATTACTGGTTTGGCACTGGGTAGGGAAATACCCAGGTTTCCCCTAAATTTCTCAAAATGTGTGTTCCTGCTCACTGCAAATCCTCAATCTACCTGGCATAGAGAAGCTCTAAATACTTGTTGACTACATAATGAATAAATGCATGAATAAATAAGTAGGAAATGTTCGTCGGGAGTGGTAGCTCATGCCTGTAATCCCAGCACTTTGGGAGCCTGAGGTGGGTGGATTACTTGAGGTCAGGAGTTCGAGGCCAGCCTGACCAACACGGTGAAACCTTGTCTCTACTAAAAATACAAAAATTAGCCAGTTGTGGTGGCGGGCACCTGTAATCCCAGATACTTGGCAGGCCAAGGCACTAGAATCACTTAAACCTGGGAGGCAGAGGTTGCAGTGAGCCAAGATTGCACCACTGTACTCCAGCCTGGGTGACAGAGTGAGACTCAGTCTCAAAAAAAAAAAAAAAAGCATCAAATGATCAAATGTCACCTACAGGCTTGATCACACCAGCATGTAACAATCCACTTCTAACAAGAGCCTGTCTTTTTAGCATCCTGAATCTGACCCAGATAAATAATTTCTTCTCACCAGTATCATCTACTGAGTCTAACAGTTAATTTTCATTGTTCTCTTTCTCTTCCAAAGCCATGGCTGCACAGAAGAAAGTGGTAAATATAATCTGACCTGCTAAGTTATTCAGTTTTCCTACCCCAAACTTCACTGTCTTTAGAACAATCCTGTTCCATCCCACAGCCATTATGAGTGACATGTGGCCAACAGAATCAGGAAGTGACTGGTGGGCATGACTAGGTGAACTCTGTGGCCTGCCGGGAGCTTACACTCTTCATGAATACAGGTCCCTCAGGAGACAGAGCAGCAGGCATCACAGAACAGTTCCTCCCACTGGCAACAGGACTCTTGCCTGCCCTATGAAGATCCTTCTGATTCTCAGGAGCGCAGACTGTAATGATGTGACCACCCTCTGAGAAGCAGAGAGCCTGCATCTTGTGTGTTCCTTCAGTGATAATGAAAGATAATTCCACCTTTTTCATGGCCTTCCTCTCAGCCCCTCTTGGGTTTTGTTCCCCTTCACCCCAGCGGAAATCTTTTCTTTTTAAATTACTTCCAGTCTGTTTTGTCCCACTCTTTGCTTAACAAGTCAGAATAAAGAAAAGTATTCTTCCAACTCTTTCCCTCTTTATTCTAAAGAAAAGATGAGCATGAATTAGTTGCAGCTATGTGATGAACATGCAGGAAAGAAAAATGTACCCTTTATATCTTCTGGGATCCCAATTTCTTCTGTCTTTAAAAGAACTGAGAGTCCATCACGGGTCCCTGTGAAAACTTCTATTGTAAATCGCTTCAGAAAATTCCTGGTTTTATGCCTGTTGGTCACATACTTAGGAAAAGTGCTTTAAAAAACTGCTTAGCTAAATTGCTAAATTACCTATATCAATCATGAGTTATTTAGTCTACCTCCTTGCTTCTGAGACAGATAAGAGTATTTCTTCTTTACAATGACCCCCAGAAAAAAAAAAATCTTTCATCCTTACATTCATTGTCTCATGCACTCAAAGTTTATAAGATCTTCTTCAGATATGACCCAAATCCCTTTTACTGGAACTTAAGACCTTTTATCTTTTTTCTGTTCCCAGTGGATATCATAAAGAACAACAACAAAAAAAAAACAGACACTCTTCAGCATCTATTTGTTCACAGTCTTCTGTCTGAAGTTCTTCAGGGCTCACCATTCCATTCAACATCCTTCCAAGTAGGGGATGACTGCTCTTAAAATCCCCTTTACTACCTGCCCATCACCTCCCAAGCATCCCTTTACATTCGTCTCTTCTTTAGCTCTCTGAGATGCAGTACTTGCCTCACTCGACATCTGCTTCAAGAACTTAATAACACATTCAAAAATTATCCCAGGTCTTCCAGCAAAGGCAAAGCTGGATCTATAGCTCCTCCCCGTAATTCACTAATTCTTCTATAAAATGCACAGAGACAAGATGAAGGGTTTGAAAGCCCAAGGAACCATTTCTTATTTGCCACAACAAACATTTCACAGGTTTTGGCCCCACTAAGAGACAGACAGCAGTGCTGTCGCTGCTCAAGAACAAACATGGCAAGAGAGCACAGGGGCTGGCCTCAGGAGGGTTGAATTCTAGACCAAGCTCTCCCACTGAGCCTTGTGAGCCACACACATCCTCTGCCAGCCCCTTTCCCTAAGCAGGACATGACACGTATCTGCCTAGATTGCTCCTCAGGGCTCTCCCAACTCTCACATCTTGTGGTTCTCTAATCAAGTGAAGGTCTCATCTCTCCCTTCTCAAAATACATAAACTATGTCCTTGGCATGTCTCCCACACCCACCTTGTGGCCAGTGCTATCTAGACCAGTGTTTCTCACACTTTTTAAAATGATCATCCTAGGACCTGAAGAAGCCTTTTTAGATCTTTTTTCCCTAATCACCCTACCCAGTGAAAATTTAATACCACACATATACTGTACATTGGTAGAGTATATATACCTGTGTTTAATACATGGAAATAAATATTTTGCTATCCCTAACAACCAATTTTCACTCTCTTTGGGGGCAGTATCACTCCCACTGAAAATGCATGACCTAAATCAAGTTGAGTGCCTCCTCTAGCTGAGTGATACAGAATTGAGTGTCCAGAGTTGCCACTTCCAGCTCCCACCCCATTCACATGAATCCCAGCAGTAACAATGGGAATGAGGCAGACAATGGACAATGGTGTTCCAGGAACAGTTAGAATCCACTGGAAGGGCAGAAACCACTAGGGTCCCTGGCAGAGATGGAGGCTCCTTCCAAAACTGGCATCAGCCCAGCTTCCCTCCCGCTCCCCTGCAGGCCCTTCCCCTTCCCCTTACCTTGGCACGCTGGCCAAATACGTCACTAGTTTCCGCAGGTCTTCCTGTCTTATTCTGTCATGATTGCTGCGAGCAGGGAAGGTCAGGATGGGTCCGCCTCGCTTATCACGACCCCCTGCAAGGAGGAGGAAGGGAAGAGTATTTAAGAAAACCAGTCAGAAAGGAAAGCCACAGTGGAAAAAGAAATCTGTCTGAGTGCTGGGTGATCAGACAGAAATAGGGGATCCAGAGAAATCTGGTCACTGTTCAGGACAAGGCCAGGGGGTCGAGATGCAGGTAGCACGTATGACTGTGGGCAAGTCTTTTGGCTTCCCCGGTGCCTCATCTGTAGAAGGCAGATGAAAACAGTACTGTGCACATTACAGGGTTGTTGCAAGAACTGATGAGTTGGCACATGGGGATGTACTTGGAAAAGTAAAGCTCTCTACAAATGTGAGATGATAATGAAAGTGGTGATAACTGTTCTTACTGAGAAAACAAGCTGGTGGAAAGTGCTATGTTCTTTGGAAATTTAACCTCTAATTTACTTCTCTTTATAGACCTCTGTGAGGTGGGAGTGCTTGTCATTAGCTGACTACTATGGTAAGCAGATCTCAAAGCATCCATCCCGGGATAGCATTACTGGGAGGTTCTTAGATTCATAGAAAAAACATTAAGTATTCTACACAGCCAAAAAACCACCCCTGCCTGTCTGCCTGAGGTGCCACCTGTCACTCCTGCTAGAGGAACACATGAATCTTAGCAGAAATCAGAATGCTCCAGGTCTTAATCACTGCAAATGCATATGTACATACTAAGATTACAAGTGTTTTCTAAACATCACATTTAAAATAACTGGAAGGAGTATACCAAAATGACAATTGGTGTTGCTATTAGAAGGCCAGGATTTTGGATTGTTGCTTTTTCTTTCCTCTACTTTCCAAATACCCTATTTGCTATTTATTATATGATTTTAAAATGTATTCATTAATGGACACTATGCTTAGGAAGTGGAACCAAGTTTCTCAGGGGCGTTAGATAGGAAAAAAGCTAAGGGTAACTATGACCTTACAGGGCACTGGCCATTACACAAAAAAAACCACTGTGTCATGATCACAGACTCCTCACGCCACATCTCAGGTGGCCACCAGATAGACCCCAGAGTAGGACCACAAAGGGATCTAATGAAAGAGAGTGGAGAGGTGCAAACCTTACCAATACTAGAAAACAGGATCTCTTACACAGAGGGCAGAGTCTCCCAGGGATCCCGCCCAAGTGTGAGTTCATGAATAAGGTTTCCTTCTGGTTAAGGAGTCCAGAAGGCACACGGAGAGAGGGGACACTTGACAAAAAATCAATCCAGAATACCCTTGAGGAGGAAGTAAGGAGGCTGCAGAGAGAAAAGGATTACACAAGATCAAGGCCACTGTGAGATCCAGCCCTGATGAAAAAGTGTTTCTGCACCACCACCACTGCCCAGCACCCCAACTCAGGGAAGATTCATACAGATTAACTCAAAGTTGGACATTTCATACCACTAGCCCTGGTTCTTTGAAGTGATAACCACCCTTGTCTCATCTGCCTTGGAAATGGTCCCCATCTCTCCATTGCCTTCCACATGAGGAAAAGGAAGCGAAAAAATTAAATAGAAGGTTTTCCAAAAGCTGGGAGGTACTCCAACACTCTCAACCTTCTCCTCTATCCTGACCTCACCCCAAGCATTTTCACTTTGGCAGTTTGTTTGTTTGCTTGTTTTACCATAGCTGTTGGTTTTTTCCTGACCTTCCTTGGGCATTTTACAAGTAGAGTCTTGGAACCATAAGGAACCACAGCTCTGACTGGCAAAGGGTGGCTTGGAGGGTTGGCTGATACTGTCCCTCCCAAACTGGAGCCAGGGCTGGCCTTGGAGACATGAGATTCAGGATCATGGCTGGGGAGGTTTTTAGATGGCTGGAAGATAGTCACTTTTTCTTTCCTCCACTTTCCAAACTTCCTATTCACTATTTACTATATGATTTCAAAGCGCATTCACTAATGGACACTATGCTTAGGAAACAGAACCAAGTTTCTGCTTTTTTTTTTTCCTGTCTGACACTCCTGAGAAACTTGGTTCCACTTCCTAATCATAGTGTCCATTAATGAATAAGCTTTAAAATCGTATCATAAATAGTGAATAGGAAGATTGGAGGGTTCAGATGGCAAGGAAGGAGGGGTGAGAAAAGAAAGCCTGGGGAATTCTAATTCCCCACATCCAGAAGTGTAGATCAGGAGTCAAGAGGAGGCAGCAGGATCAAGCCATGTGGTGTTCAGAAAGAAAGAGACCTTTGAAGATTATAGAAAAAAAGGAGAGGAATGAGCCTAGAGGAAGAGAATCTTTATGCTGGGAAGGGTAGGGACAACAATGGAGCAAGGCCCCAGGGAAGGCACAAGGGGAGGGTCCAGTCCACAGCAGACAGGGCTGTCCCCCTCTTTGAGGCAGGCTGTTGAACTCTGAGAGAGGAGGAAATGGAGATAGGTGGTGGAGAGGGAGGAGTTCAGCCTGCCCGAGGGACACGGTTCTTTGGAGAAGGACATGGAGATAGGTGATGGAGAGGGAGGAGTTCAGCCTGCCCAAGGGACATGGTTCTTTGGAGGAGGAAATGGAGATAGGTGGTGGAGAGGGAGGAGTCCAGCCTGCCCCAGGGACATGGTTCTTTGGAGGAAGAAATGGAGATAGGTGATGGAGAGGGAGGAGTTCAGCCTACCTGAGACATGGTTCTTTGGGTGGAGGACATGGAGATAGGTGATGGAGAGGGAGGAGTCCAGCCTGCCCGAGGGGCATGGTTCTTTGGAGGAGGAAATGGAGATAGGTGGTAGAGAGGGAGGAGTTCAGCCTGCCCGAGGGACATGGTTCTTTGGAGGAGGAAATGGAGATAGGTGGTAGAGAGGGAGGAGTTCAGCCTGCCCGAGGGCACGGTTCTTTGGAGGAGGAAATGGAGATAGGTGGTAGAGAGGGAGGAGTTCAGCCTGCCTGAGGGACATGGTTCTTTGGGTAGAACAGTAGACAAGAATCAGTCCAGGGTCAGGGTAGGCTTTGGGTACTGAGGAGAGGGAAATGAAACCATCCCTGGAGATCTTCTCTCAAGAATGACAGTAGGACTGGGTAGGACAGGAGCTTCAGGATTGCTGACAGGGTACTAGGGCACAGCGAAAGCTCTGTTGAAAGCTTTGGCTACAGTATCTGTGCCAGGCTCCAAGCTGAGTGAAGGCAGAATGGAGCTAATGCACCATATAAATGGGGTATGCCCAGCGAGGGTGGGAGATGTCCTGTTGGATGATGACATCCCAGAAAAGAGGGAAAGGTGTTGATTTTGTTCCTCTCATATCCATCCTCTCCCAAATGACAAGAGGATATCAGAAAGGGTCAAAATAAGGGACTAAAACCACAGATAGACATATCAAGGGTCAAGATCTTGGACGTGCATAATCACGGTAGGTAGGTGGAGGACTTTGGTACCAACGAGGCTGAGCAGCAATGAAGCTCTAGGATTTGATCAATAATTGACATAGATGCTGAAATTACAGAGGACAATAAGCAGAGATGAAGTATAAGGACCCCCGATAAAGTCAATATAACAATAGACCTGCAAGATGTTAATGAATACACATCACAGATACATAAATTTTTAGGGAATGAGGTTATTCTATGGTTTGGAAAATGCCAGATTAAAAAAAAAAAAAAAAAAAAGTTCTTTACTGCAGGACTTTCCAGAGCCTTAAAATGTTAATGTACTTTAGTGGACATTGTAATTCTCCAAGAAGGAGAGCTACGATGTCCAGCATTTCCCAAACTTCTTTGAGAATAGAACCCCATTTTCTTTGTAGAGGATCATCCTGTGGAACTGTTGGAAAACACTTTGAGAGATGCAGGTCCAGGGTACAAAAGATTGTGCCACAGCAACATAAGGTTTCCCTGGGAACAGTGGAAACCAGTGAGGAAAACCACATTGGTGGGAGATAAGGAGGCAGAGAGGAATCATGAGGAGGTGGCCAAAAGGTGGGCGTGTATGCACATGAAGACAATAGGGTGAAATAGACCCTACATGGGAAGGCTGGATAAAAGGGACAGTGGGTGCTGTGACTTATAAGTAGTACAAAGTATATCAGAGAGGACCAAGGGGAACTTGTGAGCTGTGAATGACAGAGCAGAATGGGGCAGTGCTGGAACAATGGAGGCTCACTGAGGGACAGTCCCAAATCCTGTCACACAGACATGCAAACGCCCAACATGCAGAAGCTTCTGGGCTGCCCTGGATTATTCCCAATGTACATTCCCATGGCAGCATGGTTTTCTTTTCGCCTGGCCAAGGCTGGGTACTAGCAGGGGAGGGCAGGCTCAATTAACAAACAGCCTGTTTCTCTACTCACCACCTTCTTTGCAGTGCTTTCTTCTTCTCAGAAAGAAATCCAACTGTTAAACTGCATTATTTAATTATAGGTTTCTTTATTTTGTTTTATTTTTGTGTTTTATCTTTTATGTTTTAAAAGCTCAGGATGTAAGAGTTGGTTGGTTTGGGTTTTTTTTTTTTTTTTGGTTTTGGGGTTTGTTTTTGTTTTTTTAGATGCAGCCAGTCATTATCTTCCCAGTATATTCAGTGTCCTTCCCAGGCATGGAAGGGCAATGTTCCCTAAGCCTAGAAGTTTCTGGCACCACAAGCGCAGGTGCAGTTGAATAAGGCTGAACCCAGGCTGTTCGGCTTACATTGGCAAATGGAGGAGAGCTATGCTCCCAGCCCCTCTTCGTCCTGCTCAGGGAATTTTCTACCTGCCTCATTCCTGACTGCCTTCCTGGCCACATTGCTTCTATGAGTTCCATTAGGACTAGCCCCTACCACCTGAGAAGGTTTTTTTCTGGGGTTCTGCCCAGGGCTCTGACTGAATTTACTTGGGAAAAAATAAACCATGAACATCAAGCAAGGGTCTCCACGTTAGAGTGTACTGTGCATGCATATGCCCCAAACTGATGTGGAATAGGATGATGCTCAGAGGAATACATTAGATCCAGGAAGGTCTCCTGGAGGAGGCAAAGTAGGAACTGACTCTGGAAGGAGAGGAGAGGCTCAAACTGGCAGAAGGCATGGAGAAGGCACTGCAGAGGGAAAGAAGTGCCAGGCACAAGAGAAATGGAAGGATTGGCAGGATATCCAGGGGACAGGAAGAACATCAGGTTAACTAAGGACTATAAAAAGAAGGAAGAAAAGATAAGATTGGGCTCCCAGAGGGCTGTGGACCACATCCTTGGGAGCCCAGGCTATGGGGATCAGCAGAAATCAGAGGCCTGGCACTGCTCAATGGCCTCTAGGATTTCTGCACAAGGTCTTCCCATATGCTTAGCAAGCAAATGGAATCCAAGTTTCTAAAGGTTTTAAAGGTTGCTCACCTATGCCTCTCCCCGTACCCAAATCACTGCTGCATAATCCTGCCAAGGAGTTGTTCTGCCTGTACTTCAACATCTTCAGTGGCAGGGGACTCATTACCTTATAAGATATACTAGTCCCTAATGGGAAGAGGCAGCTGCCAGGTCACTCTCGTCTAACAGCAATGACAATAATAAATTACTATTGCTACTACTGCTAACAATAATTACAATAATATAGAATGCACTTAGTCATTATAAAGTCTTCTGCACACTCCCATTGCATGCCTGCCCTCACCTCTCACACCTACACTCTGAATCATCAGGCTCTCGCCCTTTCTCCAATGAGGTGGGAGACAACTGCTGCTTAACTTCCCCTTTCCTTTATCCCCTTCCCACCTCCTCTTCTCTCTGTTTTGTCTGTCGCCCAACAGCCAAACCAACAGTGCCTGTGGCATGAACCTGTGCTCTACAGGACTGGAATAGCTCTTGCTCTGTGACTGCACTGCTACTTCTTGTAGATCACCAAAATCACCCAGAAATAAAGCTTTGGTCCATGAGGTATAAGCACATGGCATGTTTCTCAAAATATGATCTTCGGCTACTAACATTGTCTACCCCAGCCCCTGCCTCAGACCCTACCAGAAATTCTGATTCAGGAGGCCTAGAGTGGAGCCCTGGAACAGGCACCCAGCGTGATTGTGGCATACCTTATTGTTTGAGAATGACTGCCTTAGGGGCTCTGGCCAGTCTTTGGCTTCAATTATATCAGGGGTCACCAGACTTTTTCTTGAAGGGTCAGATATTAAATATTTCAGGCTAATGGGCCAAATGGTCTCTGCAATAGCTACTCAACTCTGTTGTTGTAATGAGAAGGCAGCCATTAACACTATCTATAGTAGGTTGAGTAACAGTCCACAAATACATCATGGCAAAGACTTTGCAAATATGATTAAGTTAACCATCTTGAGATAGGGCGATTATTCTAGATTATCTAGGTGGACCCTAAATGTAGTCACAGGGATCCTTAAAAGAGAGAGGCAGAGAAAGATTTGACACAGATGCAAGAGGAGAAGGCAATTTGACCCTGGAGTTAGAGATGGGAATGATGCAGCCACAAGCCAAGGAATGTCAGCAGCCATTGGAAGCTGGGAGTGGAAGGGAACCAATTTTCTCTCAGAACCTCTGGAAGCACAGCCCTGCTGACCCCTAGATTTCAGCCCCATGAAACTGATTTCTGGCTTCCAGAACTGTGCAATAATAAGTTTCTATTGTCCTAAGCCACCAAGCTTATGGAAATTTGTTGCACCATCAATGGAAAACTAATACACTCCATAAACAAATATACATTGCTGTGTACCAATAAAACTTTATTTATAAAAACTGGTGGACGGCCCACCAGCTACAGATTGCTGACCCCAGAGTGAGACATTAAGAGGTCTTTGTGCACAAGATGTATAGGAGAGAGAAGTCATATAAATATTTGGAAGTCATTATTCAGAAAAAAACAAAAACTAAACATATAAACACGAACCCTCACTTGAGTTCCCTTTGCCAGGAAAGAAAGAAAAGGAGGAAACAAAAACTCCTTTAAAAATCTCCTGTCCCTGATCCATGCAGAAATGAACTGAAATAAAACCTCAGGGAATGTGCCAAGTGCCCAGATTCTCCAGTTGAAGCAACTCTCACAGGGCCAGGCCAGGGGACTGAGGTTGGATGGGAAGCTCGGGGAATGTCCCTTTGGTTCTGGGTGTCCTTTAGAACGCTCAGCTGGGGCCAGAGCCCTCCTTTCTCTCTCCGTCTGCCTCAGCAGAAAGGAAGCAGCTGCCCCAAGCATAACTTCGCCTCCCCTACTTCTCCCCGACTAACACACAAGTGAATCTGAACACATGTGCGCACACACTTCTTCTCTAGGTCCTTTACAAAGGAAAGTCCCACAAATACTCACCAGACACGAAGGCCACTTTTTCCTTTAGGATAGGAAGGACATCAGAAGCTTTCAAACCATCATTCCGAAAAGACCCTGTGGGAAAACAAACCAGAAGGAATCAAGGTGAGAGGAGCCAGCTGGCTGAATCGCAGGGTCCCATCCTCAGTCTCCCAATCCCATCATCAGTTGGCAAGTCCTGCCTTGTCCAGGTCCTACAGCCCAGCCCGATGGACCAGGAGAGGGTCCGCAACAGAAGGGATACTTCCACATGATGCCAGCTACAGGGGTGACCAGGGCTACAACCCCCCCGTCCTTCTCAAGCAGAGAACAATCCAAATCACCCTCCTCATGTGGACAAATCTCCATGCCCTGGGGGCAAAAAAAAAAAAAAACCAGCCCTGTTGCTGTTGAGCAACTTGAAGATGGAGGACTTTTACAAAATCATGTTTGTACCTCTAGTGCCTAGCACAGTGTCTTGAACATACTCAGCACCCAGGAAATATCTGTTGAATTAGTTAACTGATATCAGGATGGATTACAAAGTCCTAAATAAAGATTTGCAAAGTCCTTTTTGCCTTTCCTCTGGCACAACTATTAGTCTTTATTTTACAAACAAGGAAAGTAAACCACAAAACTCCTACAGAAGGAAGCAAAGTTGATGACAATATTCCTCTCCCCACCTCTTCCCCCCCCCTCAATGTCATCATCATCAGTCCACGATAGACAGGAGATGGGGAGACACAAATCTCCTGGGAAGGAAATGCACTACCTTGTTTAACTTGTTCTCTTTCTAAATCTTGCTTCCCATTTAGAAAGTCCTTTTACGTTCCAGTTGAGTCCCTGTTTTGGGGGCTGGAGGCAGAAGCTCGGGGCTCCCAAAGAACGGAAACTAAAGATGTGCCTGGAGGAACAGTAGCCTCAGGAGGCAAAGGACAATCCAGCCCAGTGTGGGATGTGTGGGAAGTCAGGACCCAGCTTCCACATCCACAAACCCCAGGCTAGCCCACTGTACCCCTATCATTTAACCTAAGAACCCCACAGGGACTCTCAGGGAGAGCCACCCACGCTTACAGCAATTCGAGCTCTAACTGAGGTCTCTGTTATGTGTCACCATTAGGGATATGACACAGATAGACCCCAGAAGGTGAGCGGTTGTAAGTCAGCTCAGGGAGCAGAACCAGATACCATGGATGCCCCCTCGGGTGCCTTTCTCCACTTGGCTTATACCCTTGGGGTCCAAATTTGACAATTTACAGAGGAAAGCAACATGCTGGGCAGGACAATCCCACTCAATCCTTCAATCTCTAAACATTGACTGTTTCAAGAAACCCACCTGGGAATTTTGGCAATAAAATTCCAAGCCAGGCGTAAGATCACTGGCCTAGGGAAGTGAAGTGGGCCAACTGCACACTCAATCAAGGAGGAAGAGAGATATGTCCTCAGAATGCCAGCGTCTATGATCAGAGGTCATACCCTAAACCTAAAGCAAATTTCCTAAGTGTCTCTGACCATTTTGCCTATTTTTTCTCTTTCATTTTGCACCAAATGAAGACTGCAAGTCTTTTATTCACCAGTTGTTTCTCTTTACTAGCTGACAGAGAACTAGCTACAAGGCTCACTTTGAGAAGACCTTGAACAATAGGAAAACAAAGTAATACCATAAAAAAGAATACTTGAACTTCAAAGCCTATAAGCATTATTTTGAACTTTCTATCCTTAGTTGCTACAGATATTTATGCTCTAATTTTATCTTCTCCACAGAAAAACAATTAAATTTCACTAATAGAGGTTAATTAGGATCAATATAAATTATTATAGAATTTACAAACAGATATATAAAGTATTTTTTTATCCTTATGCAACGAGGAGACATTTAGCTTCCTTGGCAATCTATTAGGCTTTATCTGTTAGACAAGGATCTTTAATACATGACTTGTTTGTGAAAAATGATGCTTCTGTATCAAAATACATGATTTTCCTTTGTGAAATATATCTTTCTATACATTAACTTTAAAACACTTTCCTCTATGTAACCATGCACTCTACTAATTTCTATAGAAAAAAAATGTAATATAAAAGTTAAATTTCAGTCTTATCTTCTTTCAGATTATTTACAAGTTCAAAAATAGCAAGGCCCAAACTAATGAGATTTACTATATAAAAAGAATCCACATAACTCTCTTTTCTCCTAAACTCTTGTCCTATTTTTTTCTTCTGTCCTCCCTCTTGTCCCCTACTGTGTTGCAGTACACAAGAGGGTCCTAATTCTAAATAGCCCTAAGACCTTAAGAAAGGGTTTCAAATTTGCTATAATGGAAGCAAAAGGTTCCCCATCCTATCTCCTCTCTACTCCCACCCTTGGAGAGGAAGAGGAAGCTCCAAGTCTCATCCATCACACCCACTCATTGTGCCCCACCTCTTCCTTCTCCCCACCAGGGTCCAGGACCGGAGAGAAGGTGTGCAGTTTGTCCATGCAGCTTGCAGTCATGGGCTCCAGCAAATATCAGTGCCTCGGGTTGGGCTGTTCTAGGATTCCTAGGGCTTCTACTTCCCAGGTCAGGGTCCTCCCCGACCCTGTAGAGGCCACTGCTGTGCCTGGTTGTGTGTCCACCATAAGAAAACCTAAAGTGTCCAGATTTACAAAATCCAAACTAGGGGACAATCATTTCCAATTACAACTAAAATTTTCACATTATAAAAGGATTTGCTCCAGAGTCTCTTCAAATAAAAGTTCCCCTAGTGATTTGAATTAGTTTTTCATTTGCCAAAAATTAAATTACATATAACTTTTCAACAATATATGTATTATGTAAAGCCAAGTAGAGCTAATTAGCCCAGCAGCTCAGAAATTGGTGACCTTGCATATAAAACCTATTTGCACTGGCTAAAGATCCTATGTAGCGTATCAATTCCCCCAGGGCCCTTGTGAAACCAGCTGTTGGAATATATAATAAAGGAGAAGTTCATTGAATGCTAATTCAAACAGGACCAATGAAATAGCAACATGTTTTCACTATCCGGTACATGTCTTGGTAGACTCATGGTAAATGTTCAATAAATATTTGATGAAAGAATAAATGAATGAATGAAACGTTGACCCTTCCTAAAATGACTTACACAAGGTCAATGACTTCATCTGTCACACCAAGCACTGGCTATCTGAGTAGATGCCCTCCAGGGTACTACTCAGCTCTAATACTCTGAGACTTTCTAAACCTTCTCTTCATATTTGTTGGCCTTTAAGATCCTCAGATTATCAGATCAATATGCTTTAAAAGGAAGTACTGGGAATAAATTCCCTAACAAGATTCATTCCACCTTGGGAAGATAAAACACTTCACTGGCTTCCTAGCCAATTTTTCCCCCAGAATCAGTTTATAGATGTTCAGGGGCAGATCACCCCATTTTGCAGGTAGCCCAAAATGCCAAAATGGGAGAAGAGTGATGGAAGAATTTCCATGAGGCTTAACCTCTTGAAGGAAGTAAGCTTACATTATCATTGCCATTTCTGGTATAAAGTATACGTGATAGAACTATTAGAAAATAAACTCTAGATCAAGCTTGTGCAACCTGTGGTCCGCAGGCCTCATGCAGCCCAGGGCAGCTTTGAATGCAGTCCAACACAAATTTGTAAACTTTCTTAAAACATTATGAGATTTTTTTGCAATTTTTTTTTTTTTAGCTTTTCAGCTGTCATTAGTATTAGTGTATTTTCTGTGTGGTCCAAGACAATTCTTTTTCTTCCAATGTGGCCCAGGGAAGCCAAAAGACTGGACACTCCTGCTCTAGACCAATCATAGACCTGTTTCCACCTTTTAAAAAAAAAAGCCAGTTGAAACAGGCTTGCTACCTCTAAAGAAGGCCTGAGAAGACATTAAAAAAACCCTAAGCCCTTGGAGTTGCTGCAGGAAAAAACAAAAAACAAAATCAGGGGTAGTAACTTCATGGATCTGACCCAAGACGGGTTGTGGGTCGTGGGTGTTGTGCTTCTTCTTAAGGACAAAGGCATGCTTCACCGGCATTCAGTGCTAATCCCACCCCATTTGTGTCCTGCTGTTGTCAGAATTACAAGCCTGCTGTTCTGTTAATTAGCAAAGTTGAAATGCTCCACATCTATTAAGGAAGTACAAATTATCCCTGCCATCTCCCCAGGATCCTCCCGCATGGGTCTTCTCCAAGCCCCACTTTTGCTTCTCCTTGCTCCAAATGTGTTATGCTTACATTGCTTCTAGTCATCATTTTCCACGTTAGAAAATGCCAAACACCCTCACTCTGGCTCCCAGCCTCTGTGTGACCTTAATGGCAATGGTAAAACTGGCCCTTGAGCCACCAGCCCTGTCTGTGGTTTTTGTGGGTGTAGAGTAGCAGTATATTCCCCAGGGCACCTGTGTTCCATACTAACCTCCTTCAGAAAGCAATCCTTATTTCAACAAGTGAAGAAGCAAACAACAGAGTGGGTGTTTATAGAGCATTTGGAGGTTCAAGCTGCCAGAGTATACATGGATTGCTCTTTGTTTCCTTTTGGTTCTCAGACACACCCCTTTAATGTGCACCTATTTAGAAGTTACTATGTAAGTGTTCTAACATTGCTTCAAGTGGGCCTGAGCCCTGTTTCTGCACACTTCCCTATGCTCAGGTTTCTGCCTTCTCTTTCTGCTTCACCCTGTGGTGTCCAGCATGGGAGCCTTACTCAAAATGGCACTGAGTCACTGAACAAGAGGCTGCATAAAAGAGATCTGGCTTACAATTGAGAGGTGCAGGAGCTCATTTGGCTGGACCTTAGTTTGGTTGTAATTTTGAAATTTTCCTATTCCTAAGGTCATTGTTTCATTAATTCTATATTGAGCACTATGTGCCAGGCCATATGTCAGGCTTTGGTGGTAGTAAGACAAATAAGAAATGGATCCTGCTCTCCAGGGGCTTCCAAGTGGAGACAAACAGGTTTCCAAATAGGACAATTAAACTGTTATCAGAGACAGGATATCACCTGTACAAAATGCAAGGAGACTCAAAAAAAAATTTTTTTTAAAAAGAGCTTCTTAAAGATGAGTCCTAAAACCTTGCAACTCAAGGTAATAAGCATCACATATACC